TCAGATGATGATGATGGTGGTGGTGGTGGTCTCGGGGTCTCGGTGCAGAGTGGGCTCCATGTCCTGGTGTTTGTGAAGGTTTTTCTGGTGCAGGCGCCGGGCGTGAAGAGTGAAATGTTCCTGGAACTGAACTCCGGTGCTGAACTCTCTGGTTCCCTCACAGCTCAGTGTGGTGCAGGATGACAGGTCTAACAGCCTCCAGCAGTGGCAGCCATTGTTCTGCTAGGATTACACCCACCCATCTCATTCACACGCAACTCACCCAAACTCACGCTCCACCACCGTCGTCGTCGTCGTTGTTGTTGCTGCTGCTGCTGCTGCTCATTTATTAGCTGCTGGGAAAGAAGGAGTTCCACTGCTGTAGACCAGGTCCAGAGCTTGGACGTCAGGACTGGACATCTGATCTCTAACTCCAGGACTTGTCCAGTCCAGTGTTTGTCAACACAGTGGACCGTGACTACAGTACACAGAACCAGTCAGTTCAACTCTTTATCTTTGAATATTTTTATTTGTAGCTGGAGTGTGAAATCTGACGGGAGTGAACTTTGATTCTGCTGCATCACTGAACGTCTAGAACAAAACAAGATCAATACGAGAAACCAGACGTTCATGTTCTTCATGTTCTTCATCCATAAATGTCAGGCACGTGTTGTCATGAATCAGTACTGGTGAAAACAGGACGTCTGGACGATGACACTGATTTAAGTGGAGAAAAAAAAAACAAATCTGTACTGAAAGTTAAGGATGAGTCATTTTAGAACAGTGGTTCTCAAAAGGCGGGTCGGGACCCAGAGAGGGGTAGGACTGTTTTGTGTGTGTGTGTGTGTAAGTATTGTTTAAAATGATGACAAGGATTTTATTGTTATTTCCAATTCAAAGTCATATAACCAGGTCACATGACTTTAAGGACGCCACGGCGTTAGCTGCAAAAACCCTGGGTTTTTAGGCTCATTGAATCGTACTCTTGTGTACGTGTGTTCTTAGTTGGGTGGGGGGGGGGGTTACCTGGGTTTGGCTTTCCTAAAAAGACCCGGTCTTTTCGGTTCCAA